GATATCGCGAAACCACGATATTAATAGCGCGAAAACGCGATATTTTTCGCATCGTGTTTTCGCGTCAATGCATCGTCTTTTCGCGATTTCGTCCTTAGGGCGACAGCGCGAAACCACGATGGCCCTAACGAAATTCCGTATGTATTGATATATCGCTTTATACACTTTAAGAGAGAACTGCCCAATTAGTGTCCAACAATATTGACATGTCAATCTTTCATTTGATCTCATAGTCGGTGAATTCCGTAAACGTAAGTTCGATCTTCATGTTAATCAATGGATGTTTATTACCCTTCCAGATTTTTTCCGCCTTTTTGATTGGATATTGATCACCCGAAAGAAATTGATATTACCGAGCCAGACGGGTAATATACACACTAAATTTCCCCGTTGGGTACCCCTAGTTCTAAACAACATGCGCTGTGGCGATGCGCGTACGGTTTGATTTTACGCGATGTAAAGTCCGATTTACAAGCACTTTTTAACTGTCAAATGATAAATATTTACCAAAATAGAGTAATCATACTTATTCCCATTAGTATTGAAAACAAATATGACCTTGTGAAAGCTTGATATTAATTCCAAAAAAGTGCGTTCAACAGACTAATCCTTTTCTCTTGTTTACATTCGTTAGGTTCGAAAGAAAATACGTCATGTATTTATGTGACGTCATGTAGTGGTGAAGAGGTACACTAAAGGGAATCGTATTTTGACGTTTCTTTTGGATTAGCAATGATTTATTTTAAAATCGTTTTAACTCGACAGATGAATGGTAATAAAATTATTATTTTGGTTTTGGAGTGATATATGTGGATATATTACCTGCCAAGATAACATATCACACTCGCCTGACGGCTCGGGTGATGTAAAATCTTGACAGGTAATATATCCACATATACAGTATCACTCCAAAACCAAAATAACATATAATACAGGGGCGTACCTACCGATACGCCAATACGCACAGTCGTATAAAAAGAAAAGAGCTTCGAAAAAGTAAAATATCAAAAATGAAATCAATAATTTGGGCGTAGATTGATCAACATATTCGTAGCTGCTAATTGATTCTATAGGTATACTTAGGATGTTACCTTATTCGAATATGCGTTAACAATCAAGAAATCAATTATAAGAAAAGGGAGAAAGCACATATGAGCAAATTAAAATAAAACAATTGCTTCTGTATATCAACAGGAAGCCATTTTAGAGAGAATTATTCTATTGTTGTGTCAGTCTCGAATCCGAGAAATCAGTGTTTATAAGGGGGTATGGTTTGAATTATCTTTAAAATTTCAGTTTATACCACCCTATGCTAAAGATGAGACTCAGAAAACAAAATATTTGGCCTTTCAACAGAAACTTGGAGTGACGTACACAATGTAAATATATGATATAAACAATTTCTTTGGAATTTTCTTTTTTTTCAGATTGAATTAAGCTTTAAAGAATCAATGTTTTAATGCTAATAAACCTCGCCAAAATCAAAATTATGATAAGAAATTGTCCAATTTATTGCAATCATTTTTTTTCAGAAGGATCAAAATCAGTGAAAACTAAACATTTATTTAATGTTTTACATCTAGATCTATATGCAAAATTAAGATCTTGTCTGCAACTTAGAGTTTGCGGAGTTAGCTGTATGGAATTTACCTTGTAGCTATAAGCCAGTATATTATTTGTTAATTTAGTAACATTCGTTAATCATATATTCATTTCAAATTGTGTAGAATAGTTTGGGCCCTATGAATCAGATCTTTGCCAGCATCTGTCGTTAAAAACCGATTTAACCGTAAAAATGAATACATGTATTTATAAAATATATCACTACAGAAAGATGTTTCTACTGTATTATTTTAGTGTGTATAGAAATAAGTTGCATACTTCTGCAAACTATTCTTTAGTATACATAGTCTCATCTATACATATTTAAAACATAGACAAATATACAACGAACACAATGTATAGTCATATAAGACACATCATGTACGTCCCAATTCTTTTATTTTCAACAACTTTAGATAACGAGTTGGCGAGCTTCCTTTTATGTGCGTGAGGCATTTAACTTCCTGATCAAATATCTTAAATATTTGGAATGAAAACTGAAAGAGTAGAGTTGAGAATAAAAACTGTTAAAGACAATATTTGTTGTCTTCAACACTGACATAATACGCATTTAAAAATATTTTAATCGTGCGATACTACTTGTTAGCTGATTAATACTATAACATTTTGTTACACTAAAACATTAAAGCTGTTGTGTTTGTATTAAAGTCATACAAATCATTTTAAAGCAAATTTTTCCTTGATTGTATTTCATGTTAAGTTATGATGAAACAAAAGAAGAATAACAAAGAAAAAACTTGTTAAACATTTCTATTACAATAGAGTAACACATGGCTATGTTTTGTTTTTCTAATAGTAAATATCTTTTGAACTTTTTAAAACATTGTCAATCACGGTGCATATCCATATCGGTACCCTCTTTGCGAAATCTGCTCAAACGGGACCCTCTTTGAACATGCACAGGTCATTCTCTGCTAAAAACAAACCAGCGACGGATAACAATCCAGTAAAATTCCATGGTAATAAGGAAAGGAGGTATGACACGTAGTAATGTGCGTTAATTGCTAAGTATGTAATATTTACATAAAAGTAAGAAATATTACATACATACCTAACGATTAACGCAAATAAAAGCATATATCGTGCTTTGAGGGTACCTATATGTGTTAAAAAATGAGAGGGTACCTGTGATATAAAAATTCAAATGAAGAGAGGTAGCCCGTGCCGCTGCAAAACCGAAAGTAGGGTGTTTTTATGAATTTTACATTTATTTTTGACAATATACTGCCATTGAAGATGATATGTATATGAACATATTAAATATGTATGCTGCATATATAATCAAGCCACAGGTTCATTTTAGCCCGAAAAATATGTCGAGGTGATGGGCGAGGCAAGACATGTCGATTTTTTGTAGCTTATTGTGAAGTTGCAGTACATGAAAATCGGGTAATGACAAATCAGCACATCAATAAAACATTCTAGTGTTCCGTGGTATACATCTTTTCTACGTGTCATACCTCCATTCCTTATTACCATGAAATTTTACTGGATTGTTATTCATCGCTGGTTTGTTTTTAGCAGAGAATGACCTGTGCATGTTCAAAGAGGGTACCGTTTGAGCAGATTTCGCAAGGAGGGTACCGATATGGACATGCACCGTGTTAGACTTCGTGAAATATCTCTTACTTTCACTGCATGTACTTGATGTTAATTTCATAACTATAGATAAAGACAATAGAAGTACAATTAGCTTAGATGTCCCCTAAATCTCTTATTTTAGCACATCTAGCTATATATATTTTATATAATATATTATATCACTGGCGACCCTTAGGCCAAAGACCTGCACTAGGCGTACACTCAAAATAAGCCGAGGTACGCCCCTGTAATATAACAAGTTGTTAAATGGGAACGATTCAGAATTCCTCTCAGCGAAGTAGTTGAAGGTCTACCACTTCAGGAGTTCAAACCTAAACTCGGAGGTTTGAATCCTGAATCAGCCACTGTTATTTCTCTTCTTATTTTAAAATTGCCATTCTCTTAACGCTCGTGCTTTTTTGTGTTGTATTTTTGTGTATACAATCTATATAGTGTATTTACTATCTGCATACGTCATACACTAGCCATAGCTTTCGCAGAAGCAGTGGAACCATCGCAAAGGCGGTGAAATATTCGTCGCAGAAACGGTGGATGAAAATGGCCGTTTTCTCTATTGTTTATGACTGAATTTTACTTTATGTTTGAATGTTTTACGGAAACAGGAGCCCACATATATACTATTCCAACTAATTACACGTACACAGTGAAATTCATTGCCATTGCCACAAAACATTTCATGTGAGGAAGCTATCCAGCTAGCTTACGGAACGTCGGTGGTTCTACTCGGGTGCCCGTCCGTGCCTGAAAAATGCACCGAGGGGCACTTGAGGTATTTCTTCACGAGTAAAGCTGGAACGTCGCCAAATGACCTATGACGTAAAACCCAAATCAAACAAACAAACAAACAAACACAAAACATTTGTGCGCAAAACGACCCCTTAATACACCACGTCAAGAATCACATCGTATGTATGATACTTGCACAAAACAACCATATTTTGGGACTTTTGGAAATTGTTATTGCTTTTTTATAAAAGAAAAATGACAAAAAAATGATTACAGCGCAGACGGCGGTGGATTCGATTGCAACACAGTGCAATATGACCGTCTCGTAGAACTGGCAGGAAAATACAATTTTTTTTCTCAAATGTTAAATGCAAAACTTGTTAAATAAACCATTATGCTTAAAAGACCATGAGGCATACATATACACAAACATTATGACAGTCACACAGTTTATACAAATAATATATAACAATAATTTCATTAAAGCAATATATCTTGCAAACAAAATTTACTTTGTAGATAGATATTTTAATCTTATTCACCACAACCAATTGTGACATATTTCGAACTAAATTTCAGGTTACCTTATTCTTTACGATATATTCATTGTGCCAAGTCATGTTTATTATTTGAAAAACTGTGATGGCAATATGACTAAGATTACCTATAACCGAAACTGAAATCTTGCTTATTTCAGAGGTAGTGATTAACAAAAAGTTATAGTTTTTATAATAATTTCACAATACAAGCTATATATATATGTAAAGTGTAATCACGATAACGTCTAAACACTCAAACATTCAAGTGAGAAAAGAAGCAGTGTATATCACATTACTTCTTATTTAAATATAAATAAAATTGAATACCCAACTAAAAAGCTAAAACTAAAATATAAAATACTACTTGTAGCAAACCAACCAGAAATATGATACATGTAGTGACGTGTTTACTCATACGTAATATATATAAATAGAAAAAGTCCTGACGTGTTTGAATTTCATTGGTTTTAAACGAGAGATCTTAAATATGCTATAGTTTTTTGTACAGGATAAGCAAAAGATAGGATTTTTATTAATGATTATAGACATTCGTGTATGAATATTGTAATTTTTTGAGTGCTTATATAATGTGTAGTGACTTCAAAACAACATTTTAAAATTGACGTTTACAATTTGGGAAATGGCACATAGAATCAGAAGACATATATTACATTTGTATATAGATCTGTGCTAAAATACGCGTGGATCGGATAACTGTCCTGACGACGGTATTTTTTCATATATCTTTTTATAAATCTTTGGTAATGAGAAATGGGGTCTTTTGTGTATTGACAGACATACATATGTCACAGAGTGAGAAAAATGTGCAGCCTGACCGGGACTCGAACCCGGGACCCCCGGAATAACCGTTTCCGCCTGCTCTACCGACGGAGCTATCCCGTCGCTACATTTTTCCCCCTCCTAAATAAGTGAACAGTTCTGACCGTGGACATACTCCCCTGCTATAAATTGGAATTCTTCCTCAAATTTACAAAGTTACAGAGCAACGTAAATTAAACTCTAGCTATATCAGTCAACGTGGCCATGTTTTCCGCCACAAGGTGAAATAAATGTTGCAGCCTACCGGGACTCGAACCCGGACCCTCGGAATACCCTCCGCGCTCTACCGACTGAAGCTATCGGCCGCTCCCCTAATTAGTTTTCGTTTTTTTTTGTTTTTTTGGGGGGTTTTACGTCACATCGACACAGTATAGGTAAATATCGCGACGTTCCAGCTTTAACTGGTGGAGGAAGACCTCAGGTGCCCTTCCGTGCATTATTTCAGGCACGAACGGGCACCTGAGTAGAACCACCGACTTCCGTAAGCTAGCTGATTAGCTTCCTCACATGAAAGAATCCAAAGTCCCCTTCGGGATTCAACCCACAGCCGAGTGAGGGGAAGTGGTTTGAAGTAAACGACCTTAACCACTCGGCCACATCTATATAATCGTCTTTTAAAAAAGGAAATACATAGATTCGTGAAGACGAAACATATTACAATAACATGTTTTGAAACGGCAATATGAAATGCTGATGTTTTAAATGAGATTTTGCATGTAGTTGTCAACTTCTAATTGTTTTAAATTTTGACTAGACACGTTTTGCTTAGATGTCTGTCTTTCTGAAATATTATCATATAATTTTTTGCAATATTATCCAAGTTATATTCACGGGGTTAAAATTGACACGCTCCGCTTAGCACATACTTTGTAGAGATAATTTAAGCCCATTGTGCCTTTGAAATTCTATCATTTTAGTTTTCAGAAACCTTTTTATACTTGGAATCTTGTTACAGATCCGAAAAAAATCTCATTTTATGATAAAAATAACCTATCTTTTGCTTCTTTGCTTCTGTTTGCAATTAGTATAATTATAGCGAATAAGAATTCTGTATGTAAATCAAAATATTACTTTGTTTACATTTTGCTACCTTTACGATAAATCAGTGCATGGTAAACGCTACTTTCTTTGGTTGTTAACCATCTAACATGCAGTAAAGCCATTGTCAAATCATTATTAAACACATTTTTGACATTTCTATAGACTTCAAAGGCATAATGTGCCTTTAATATATGATATATAACTAATCATTGTTTCTCTACTATCCTCATATATCCCAAATAGTGCGCTGCTGAGGAAATTAAAGTATACGTCCAAAAATATATTCAATGATTTTTATAACACGGGTAAGATATCTTAATGAGAAATAATAAAGTTGACATTGAAAAATGTTTACTATCGCGGTTAATTAAACAGACTAGCCTGTTACAAAAAACAAAACATGAGCACCGAGAATGCATAAATGTAAAACGTGAAATTCCTCGTAAGCATGAATCACAAAAAAATTACACGAAAATCGCAGAGTCGGTTTGATGGGGGATAATAAAAAGGTGCAACATCCCTCACGCCCTCTAGCACCGGATTGAGTGGTATTAAAATTTAACACTTAAATTTTCCCGATGGACCATAAAAATACAACACTGAAGTGAGGTACTAGACAACTTATTACAGTTTTCAACAGTTTAACAGTCACCATGTCCCAACAATTTAATTAAACTTGTTTAGAAAATAATAGTGTCCGAAAAATAGTTACCGATCAGAAATACAATGAAAAATTGCACGTGTTAATTATATATGATATACATTTATACCTATATAAATAAAGAAGATTTACAAACTGCTTTGAAAATTTTTATAACAATTGTAGTTTTTGTTCATTTCATGCTTTTATGAATGCTTTTTTTGTAAATATGATTTTGCTTTATTTTTATTCTAATGATCTCATATATATGGTGGCTGATTTGTGCCATTCGTTTTTTTTACCTGCGAAAAGTCGAGAATTAAAAATTCAAAAATGCGGGGCCGCGGAGCGAAAACACACTTAATACCGGGGGCTGAGGGGAAAGTTAATAAATAAAACTTTGCCCCTTCGGGCGCGGAACGAGATTTAAGAAATAAAATTGCAGGGGCGCGGGGGAAATTCTGATACCCGCGAACCCCGCTAATAAGCGTGTTTTCGCTCTGCGACCACGCCAAAACACGATATTTAGCGGGGGCGCGGGGCGAAGTTTTATCTATTAAATGCGAAAATATAAACCGTATAAAGTTAACTATAAACACTTTATTGCAGGCCTCGGAAATAGAATAGTTATTTAGACTATAAAAAGATAAAGCCCGCATATACGAACACCTTCTCAAGTTTCTCAATTGTACACAATAACATTAAAAAAAAATTGTATCAAGTACAGAGCAAATATCTTGTTTCAGTTACCATAAATTACCATATATTATAGTTTATCTAAATCGTTAAATCATTGCAATTTTAGTTGCTGCTATTTAGCTGCAATAAAACAACGGTATCAATCAAACTATTAAATGATACAAGGTTAATAATAATAATAATAATAATAATAATAATAATAATAATAATAATAATAATTATAATTATAAAATTAATAATTAATAATAATAATAATAATAATAATAAAATAATAATAATAATAATAATAATAAATATAAATAAGAAGAAGAAGAAAAATAATAATAATAATAATAATAATAATTATAATATTTACAAAAAGTAACACATGATCATATATGCAGACTTGTAACACCTTATTTACAACGCTGCCTTCTATAAATATTAAAATGATATCATTATACCCCCGACAAACGACGTTTTAGATGTTTTACTGGAGTCATTTGGTGGAATGTCGGTCGGTCAGTCTGTCCAGGGCATGACTCAGAATGTACAAGAGATATCAACTTCAAATTTTGTAGGTAGACAGATCTAAATGAGTAGGAGTGTAGAGCAAAAGTAACATAACTATGCCTTACCTAATTTTGGAGATGTTGCCCTTTGCTTTATTTACTCTTTGAACCTTGTCCGGGACATAAAACGACAAGGGGTATTAACAAGAAACCTTGTAGGTAGGTAGATATCATTGAGTAGAAGTGCAGTGTAAAGGAACTGTTAGTCTGCCTTGCATAATTTTGGAGTTATTGCCCTTTGTTTTTTTTTTCACTCTGAACTTTGTCCAGGACATAACTCTAAACGACAAAAGGTATTAAATAGAAACCTTGTAGGTAGATATATCTCATTGACTAAAAGTGCAGTGCAAAAGAGCAAAAACTCTGCTTCCTTTTTTGCAGTTGTTGCCCTTTGTTCATTTTTACACTTTGATCAATTTCCGAGACATAACTTGAGAACTATAAAAGGTATCAACCTAAAACTTTGTTGTATATAGATCTCACCGAGTAGATGTGCAGCGCAAAAGAACTTTATATCTGCCTTACCAATTTTTTAAAGTATTGCCCTTTGTTTATGTTAACACTTTGGACTTTGTCCGGGACATAACTCTAAAATCACAGGGATATTATTAGAAACTTCTAGGTAGATAGATCTTCTTGGGTAGAAGAATGATGCAAAAGAACAATAACCCTGCCTTCCCTTATTTATTTTTTTTTTATATTTTTTTACGCTTTGTTCATTCTTACACTTTGAACATTATCCAGGACATACATGGTAACTTCAGAACTATAAAAGGTATCAACTAACAATTTGTCGGTATCTCACTGAGTAGGAGTGCAGTAGATAGGAACCGTAGCCCTTTCAACCCAAACTTTGAAGTTATTGCCGTTTCTTCATTTTTACACTTTGAACTTTGTCTTGGACATTACTTGGGAACTATAAAGAAGTATCAACTTAATACTTTGTAGGTAGATAGATCCCAACGAGTAGAAGTGCAGTGCATAAGTACTGTAACCCTCCCTACCTTATTTGGAGTCATTGCCCTTTTATAATGTTTACACCTTTACCTTTGCAGGCAGATACATCGGAATGAGTAGAAGAGCAGTGCAGAAGAACCGTAACCCCCACCACTTTCCTTAATTTATGATTATTACCCTTTGTTCATTTTTATACTTTGACTTTTGTCCTGGGCAGAACTTGAGAAATATAAAAGTTATCCACTTGAAACTTTGTAGGAAATTAGATCTCACTATAAGTAGAAGTATAGTGCAGAAGAACCCTAATACTCCCTTTGGAGTTATTTCCCTTTGTTTTTTTATTATACTGAACTTTGTCCGGGACATTACTTGATAAGTATAAAAGGTATCAACTGAAAACTTTGAAGGTACATATATAGATTTGAATGAACATTTTTATGCCCCCGAAGGGAGGCATATTAAAATCGCACCGTCTGTCTGTCCGTCTGTCTCTCTGTGCGTCCCCACTTCATTCGTGTCCGGACTTGGTACACAATGAGGAATTTTGAAACAGCTTGACACAAATGTCTGCCACATAAAGACAATGTGACGCGTTCTAGAACCACGTCCCTGCCTCAAAGGTGAAGGTCACACTAACATATGAAGTTTCACATTATCACAACTAGAGGTGAAAGGTGTCCGGACTGTAACTTTGTCATGCATTGAAGAATTTCAAAATAGCATAAATGTCTACCACATCAAGACGATGTAATGCGTTCAAGAATTACGTCCTTACCTCAAAGGTTAAAGGTCACACTACCATTTTGAAATTCACTTTATCACAATTAGAGTTAATAGGTACACACAATCGTGTCCGGGCTGTAACTTTGTCTTCTTGTATCAAAGGTTTTTATTACAACTTGGCATAAATGACTACCCCATCAAGACGATGTGTCGCGTTCAAGAGCCACGTCCCTACCTCAAATGTCACGGTCACACTAAGATTTTGAAGTTTCACTTC